GAAACTAATTTTGAAGATTTTGATTTATTACTTAAAGAAGAAAACCTTTCAACACAACATGATTTAAAAGGTTATTTAACAAAAAATATAAATAATATTAAAAGCTTAAGAATCAATATCAAAAAGAGTAAGTCTAAGAAAATTGATAATGATCTTATCATGAGAGAATTTACAAGATTTATTACAATTTTATATAATAATGGAACAAAAAATACAACTCCTCTTTATAAAAATCAAGAATTATTTGTAATTAAAGATTTCTGTAAAGAAACAAATGCTTGTAATTTAAACAAAGAGAATAAATAATTATTAATTTATTATTTATATATTTCTTATATTTAAATAAATATATCTATAAATAAAAATTATTATCTTTAAAATGTATCCATATTATTATAAATCTAAAAAATATTATTATAAACCAACTAGGTTTAATTATAATCAAGATAATTATTATAATGATTATTTTGAAGCAAACCCCAATCATACAATAAAATTAAAACCTGAAAAAGAAGATGATATCATCTCTACTGTATTATTAAATCCTAAAAAATATTCATTTCATTATTTCATCAAAAAAGAAATACATAACCTTTATGTTTACTGAAAATCAAAATTTTACAAAATTGGAAATATACGATGCAAAAAATTCTATCTCTATCAATGAATTAAATTCATTAGGATTTACTATTTTAATCAAAACCAAAGATAGTCAATTTTTAGATTTGTCTAAAGATAATTTATGTATCGAAATATATTTAACTAGTTTAGATTTATTAAAAATTTTACATCATGATAACATCATTTATGAACTTTAAATTATTATTTATTATTTATTTATTATTTATTGTTTATTAATCAAATTATTATAAATAAAGATACCAAATTTTACATATTTCAATATTGAATTTTACAAAAAATAAACAATATTCCTAACATAACTTATAATATAATTAACAGATGTTATTGTTTAAACATAACTCTTAATGATATTATAAACATAACAATTAAAGAATATGAACATGTTAACAAAAAAAGTATTAATAAAACATTATATAGATTATCTAAAGAAAAAAAATCCAAAGATTGGAAAGAATATAATAAACATAAAGAAGAAAAATATCTACAAAATTTTGTCATAAAATCATTTACAAATACTGAGAGTATTTTCTTACCAGATATTGTTGCATATGATTTATGTAAAAATTATAACCACAACCATAAAAATAATTATATTTTTTGTTTAATTGATGATGTTTGTTTATATAAACAGCTTGTTTGTAGTAATTGTATTATTGATAGAAAAGAAAAAGAAAAAAGAAATTTAATTTATTTATAATTTTATTAATAAATGTATGAATATTTAAACCCATTAACATATAACTTTTTGAATTACCAAAATAAAATAAATTCATTATTTTTCGAAATTCTTTCAATAATCTTTTTTTTTGATTTATAATAATTATGATAATTTTTTTAACTATGTTTTGGTTTCGAGATTATTTGCCGTAGCTTGTCTTTCTTATTTATGGGAAGATCCTTTTTGTTCATGTGTCAGAAGAAACTATGCAAGCTTACAAAAAATAATTTATTATTACTTTTCAAAATACAACAAAGAGAGTATTTTGTTTCAAATTTATTCTTCTTACTTTGAAAATATAGAAAAACCTCTTTTCAATTATATATCCTTTATCAGACAAATTCATGTTGATAGCATTTTCAGAATTTTTACTTATAGAATTGATTACTAAACCATCATATGTGAATTCGATCTTTATATTGATTGAAAAAACCAAGTCACAAAAACTGTTCTCGGATTAATATTTAATTATTTGAAAAAAAATCACTTATTTTCAACTTCCAAACACATATAAATCCAATATCATCAATCTTATAGTTAAATACAATTCAGACCATAATTGATTATGAAATATTTATCTAGACACCACCTATTCTAGTGATTTACTTAAATACAATAACATATACAGGATTGCCTTTGGACATAGGAAACAGAATAGCCAGGGTTATAATTTATATAGTATCTTTACCAATCTCCATATTTTTAAAATAATCAATTTAGAAAATATCACAAATCTTAGATTTAGAAATATTAAATTTGCCAAAGAAGAAGAGAATGTATTAGATTATTTCACATCATTGAAAAAATTAAAATGTCTTAGCTTTATTAATACAAATATTCAGAACATTAAAACTATTTATGAAAAATTTAAAAATTCGAAACCTTTAGTATATTTAAAAGTTATCTCGTGTGTTCTTAAAAATTGCATTTTTACAGAAAATTTGTTCAATGAAATTCTTGATAATGAAAATAACAAAAACATCATTATTGGATTTGATTAGAAAGAGGAAATTTTTTAATTGACAAAAGAAATTCTATTAAGAAATACAAATGTTAGATAACAAATCATCAATATAGATCTTCACATCCTTAATAATAGCATTTCATATCAAAATCATTATTTGTTAGGTTTATAATTAATGATTTACAATTGAATTCATGTTTCCAATGTAATTTTTCATTAATTATCTTTTCAATTAATAAAACTTTATTATTATTTTCATCGATATTATGTTTATTATTAGCACAAGAAAATACAAAAAAAAATAAAATGATAATTAATTTTATAAACCTCATTTTTTAAATTTTATAAATGAGATTCTCAAGTCATTTAAATATTTATTTTATTAACAATTTTAAATTAATACATATAATTAATTAGAAATTACAATTTTAAAATCTATATTTATTATTAATAAAGTAATAAAGTTTGATATGTTTATTAGCTACATTTTAAACACATTGTCCAGAGTTAACTATTTGGAGGTTAATATATCATTTGACTCTTAAAAAAATGAAACAAAGAGCTTTCATCTATTTCAATAGAGGAATACAACAGATTCTAGGCCATAATATTGTAAACCTTGACTACTTTGCTCAATGGTAAAAATTTAACCAATCATCCTTACTCAAGTATATAAAGTAAAACCATGAATATGAAATTCTCCAAATTTAAATATACAAGGCATAAGGGAAAGCTCAACTAGCTTAGTTTAAACCTTATGCTATTAACTTTATAAAACAGCTACACTTCTTTGAATTTGGATATCTTACAAGTTAATACAGCCCAACACTTCAAATCAATAAAATTAATTATCAATATATTAAGTTTTCTTCATGGTTATATATACTTCAAATGTCTATCATTATAAGGACAAAAGGTGAATAATTAAAATAACAATTTTATTGTCTTTATATACTTTCAAAATTTTAATTAATATTGAAATCGATAAAATATTGTGTAATTTGTACATCATTATAGAAATACCAATTTTAGATAAAATTTAGATATGTATAAATTTATTTAAAAAAC